TAATTCTATCAAATCAGTATACATACGAAGCACGGGGCGTAAGCCACATAGGTATTTAATTTTTAATATTTTAGAAAATAATATAATTATAGTAAATATTTTTAAATAGGTAAAATTGCATAGAAACTGAAGAATGCTAAAAATTAATTGAAAAATATATATAGATGTGCTCCATTGATAAATGGGGATTTTGACTGCTTATTAGCGCCTTTTAGCTTTTGTTTTAGTCTAAAAGCACTGAATTGTGTTCCCGAAACTAATGAAATTGAGCAAAATTGCAGGAATGATGGAAGTTGATCTCCCGAGATGAAATCCGACTCAAAAAGGAGTATTCCGAAGCACAAGGCAATAAAGGGCGCAGAAGCACAAATGTGCGATCCACAGAAGAAATTGCGGACCGCAGAATTCAATCTGCGGCAGCAAACCAAGAAGAAGAATTTAGCAGAAATGTGCGCAAAGTGCGGACCACACATGAATTATGCGGCCGCTGGGCTAAGAGTCGAAGATCAGAGAGTTTGCAAAAAGACCAAGTCCAGGAGTCTCTGTGAATTGCGGACCGCACAAGAATTGTGCGGCCGCAGAAGAGTTGCCTTGCGGCCGCAATCCTAATTGTGCGGGCCGCAGAAGAGTTGCCTTGCGGCCGCAGTCCTAATTGTGCGGACCGCTAGAGATTGCCTCGCGGCCGCAGAACTCAACTTCCTGCCAGATGAAGAAATCCGTGGACCCCACATGAATTGTGCGGCCGCAGAACCTCCTGAGGGGCATTTTTGTCCGAGATTTTAGCTTTGTATAAATAGACGAGTTTCACAAAATTAGGTCAAGTTTTGAACATCTGAAGTTGTTGTAGCCGTTTTTCTTTGCTACTTTTGGAAGTTTTACATTATTTTGGTGTTTTAACATTAGATTTCTTTATTTTAATATTCCATTATGAGTTTAGTTAGCTTTTCTTCTCCATTTTTTGTAATTTCTATTATGAGTAGCTAGACTTCTACTAGGGTTATGACCATTCTCTAGTGTGTAACCCTTATGGGTGATTAGTTTAGTGTTTGTTTATGATTGAGTGTTGATTATTTAGCTTAGTTTATTCTTCAATTGTAGAATTAATGGTTGCAAACATTATTCATGCCTATTTGACTTAGTCTCTACTTGAGAAAGAGGACCTAGTCTAGGATAACTTAGCTAACAAGGATTTGGCCAATTGAGAGATTGATTAACCCAATTAAATGGTTCAACCTAGAAATAGTAATAACCCGACTTGAGCTCTTATCAACTGTTTTGGGTGATACCCCATTTGGTCTTGAGAAAGCCAAATTGGGCAAAACCACTCTCTGACCGAGAGGTATTGAGTGGATAATTTAGAGTTGAGAGCTATAATACACCCCAATCAACACAACACGCATTAAATTCTGTATCCCATTAGGCAAACACCTAGGTCATGGCCACAGCCCTAGGCTTTTTATCCATTTGTAAAAACTGTAAAAATAATTATCTCTAGTCTCCGTTCTTTATTTTGCAATCATTAGAGTAACATTAGAAATAAAAAATTAAATGATTGTTGTTGAAGTGCAATCTAGATAATACAATTGCTCATTTGAAATATATACCCCTAATTCTCATCTTAGCTCCCTGTAGTTTCGAACCCGACTCTTAGTCGGGTTTCTATTATTGCATATGACGGTTTCATATCTCTTTTGAGGTGTGCTACGTGATCAATTTTTGGCGCCGTTGTCGGGGGTGTTAAAAACGTTGTTAGCTATATATTTGGGTGTGTTTCTGGAGTATCTTCTTTTCCTTCCGTGCTACTAACTTGTTTGAAAAATCGTAGGTACAACCATGGCAAACAATGAGCTCAAAAATATTGCTTTGTGGGATGTGGACGTCGAGGATAACCAAACTGATGAGGTTCCTCTTGAATCTCAAGCCAATGGAAGAGGCTGAGTGCCTAATGACAATGTCCCTGTTCCACCCCCACCTCCACCACGAGTGGCTCCACACCGGGTGTTACCCAATGAAGGATATGCTCGTACAATAGTTACTCCCCGTATTAGGACGGGCAACTTTCAGATCACCAATGTGATGCTCACTTTGCTAGAGCAACGAGGTTTCTTCATCGGTGCTCCAAGTCAAAATGCATACAAACATTTGAAGGGGTTTGTGGACACCTGTTGGGGGAGCAAACAAACAAATGTCTCCGTGGATGCATTGAGGCTGAGGCTTTTTCCCTTCTCTCTAGGGAAAATTATTAGATTGGTTGGAACGCTTACCGAACCATTCCATTCACATTTGGGATGAGTTGGCAGAAAAGTTTATTTTTAAGTTCTTCTCTCCGGGACACGATAACTATGGATTTTAACCTATTATGTGCTCACTTTTGCTTAGGTTTTGGGTCGAAAATGCGTAAAGGTATTCCTGAAAATTGACTTAGTGTGCTTGCTTGCAGGTTTTGGTCAAAATGAGGCAAAGAAGCCAAAAACAACTCATGAAGGAATTAAAATTGCACAAATCCAAAGCTGGGAACTGGAGCGTGGAGAGCGGACAAAATACGCGGTTGCGTAAGGACCACCACTGAGGCGTCCACAAATATGCGGCCGCGAAAGTAAAGTTCAGAGAGGCTAATTTGAGCATAAGTTCTACCGCTGACGGCGATGGAAAAGCGCGGCCGCGGTGGTATTTTCGCTGAGAGCGGTGATTGAAGTTCAGAGACCGTGCAAGTCATGCTTAATAGAAGAACGTGGTCCGCGTCCAAATTATGCGGCCGCAATGTAAGCACACGCGGACGCGGATGAAATTACGCTGTCCGTGAAACCAAGTCCAACCCAAGCCCAGAATTGAAGAAACGCGGACCGCGCTCGCTATTGCGCGGCCGCGAGAGCTCAAGCGCGGACGCGATCGGAATTACGCCTCCGCGAAACTTCTGCAAAGGCATTTTTGTCCAAGCATTTTAGCCTAGTATAAATAGATCTTTTTCACATTTTTAGGGTATGTAATATTTTGCTGAGCACGTGAACGACTGGTTTTTACCTTTTTGAATATTATGGCTTATACTTCATCTTCATCTTTGATTTCTACTATTATTATGAGTAGTTAAACCCCATAGCTAGGGTTGTGACCCAACCCTAGTGTGGGTATTTAATGGGTCATGAATTTTAGGGCTTAATTATTTATCGGTTAGTGATGTTTAGCTTAATTCATGCTTTAATTGTAGAATTGGTGGTTGCAAACACTGATTCGTGCCTTGATGGCTTAGACTCTTCTTGAGAAAGAGGGACTAAGTCTAGGAAAATTAGGCTAACAATGAATTGTGGTACATTCAAGAGATTGATAGCCCCAATTAAAGGGTTAAATCTAGAGATAGTAATACCCAACTTGAGCCAATATCATTTGTTATGCATGAACACCCATTTGGACATGAGAAAGTCAAATCGGACAAAGTCACTCAAACTACCGAGAGGTATAGAGTGAGCACTTATGTGTGATGGTTATATCACGACCCCAATCATAACAAGTTTACCCTGAATTCTCGATACCCGTTAGATATCCACCTAGGCGGAAGTCACTGCCCTATTCCCTTTTAATCCTTGAAAATAACCAACAAAAATAGTGTACTTAGCCTATTCTAGCATATTGTAGTATAGCATTAGAATTATAATCAATCATGACCATGTTTGGAGGTGTAATTTGGAACAACACGCACATCTAGATTAGTTAGATACCTAACTCCAAATCAATTAACTCCTTGCGGAAATCGATCCCGACCTTTGTCGGGTAAAACTGCATCGACCATCTTTGCCACTCGATAGTGGTACAGGCTTGGAACTGATCAGGACATATGGCTACACTTCTGGATGAGATTTTGGCATTCAAGCAAGAGCCAAATGAACCACTACACGAGATATGGGAACGCTATAGACTAATGGTTAAAGAATGTCCCAACAACGATATGACGGAGAATATGATTAAACAAAATTTCTATCGTGAGATTAACACAACCAACCAATTTGTAGTGAATCAACTTGTTGGTGGGAACTTCATGACTACGCCTTATGCGGAGGCGTGTGAGATCTTGGATGAAATTGCGGAAACATCATCGGCATGGCAATCCCGGGCTAATGTTCCACAAGGTGATCCGAACGTGATCCGCCTTCATAAAAGAGTTGCATGACCATGGGCAATCCATTGCCGAATTGACTACCACTATGAATCAATTAGCAAAGGCTCAGCTTCAACAAGTGCAAAATCCTAAGCAAGTCAATGTTATGGAGGGAGTGAACATGATGGTGAACAAAAGAAGGACCAAGGGTCCACAAGTGCAACATCGAGTGGAGAATTGTGTGCAAGAGGATAGTGGGTTTGATCAAGATGATTCTTACAATGAACAAGAAGAGGAGGTGCAATATGTGAACAACTTTCAAGGGCAACGAAACAACTTCCAAGGCCCAAACCAACAACAATGGCGACCTCAAAACAATCAAGGCAAGTGGAATTCTAACAACCAAGAAAATTGGAGTGGAAATAATCAAGGATGGGGGGGGGGGTAACAATCAAGGGGAATGGAACAGTAATTAAGGCAATCGGGGGTCGGGCAAAGGCCCCTGATGTAT